CCCAACAAAATGGCTATACCTAGAAATCTATATTTCTACAGACTTCTGTACAGGGCGACAGACTCATTAGTGGGTCCCTGATACTGCATAATATCCAAAGATAACCAAGTCACCACATCCTTAGCACACATCACCGAAGGAGCATACACAAATGACTGAGCAACGTATTATACAGGTGTATAAAACTAATAAATAAAACATTCAAAATTGTAAGTGGAAGAATTATATAGTTTGGCGTTACCTAACAGCCTTTTTCATTTCCCTCATCCACGTATCCACACGAGAGATCCTTCCTGGGGCACGAGGAGCAACGAACTCAACCAACAAAAAACGAGCTACATTCTCTGGTCACCACCACACAGCAGAGCCCGTACACGACAGAATGTTACTCGATACCTCAGCCGTCTCCAAGTCATCGTAACGCGACGCAGAGTTCATGTGTTTATGCAAATCTTGTCGTAATGGCCGTTTCTCCTCCCAAGGAACGGGCTTTGAGCTAACCGAACACTTTAAAGGCTCGGTCTGTGAGCTAACACTTTAAGGACTCGATCTGTACTGGGATAATGTCATTGGAAAACTTGTATATTATGCTATTGAATCGTGAGGTAAGCCTGAAAGTGAACGGTGTTTGCCTATCAGATCGATTCCGCTAAAAGGCAAATATTCACAGAATGAAAACTACAATTTCTGACTGATGCTGCAGCGTACCACAATTGCAATCCGCGCTCTTTTAACATCACATCACTAGGAATGCTGCGATCATTGGTGGGTAATCAAAGCGTAGAACTATAAATAAATGCCACGCAACCGCCTTTCAATCGATTAAAGTAAGTGCTTTATTGGCAGTAGAAAATAAAACCTGTTTTTGTTAAAAATGGGGAGATAATTAATGGAGAGCGCCTACATACTCACGGTAACGTGCCAATTAAAGTTGAAATAGCATGAAATCCGCGAATCGATCCCTACTCTCTCCCACAGTGGTTTAGACATACGAAGAACTTTAGTATAGCCAGCCATCTGTTAGCGCAACATCTTTCAGAACATCGCTCCAGCGCGTGTATAGTGACACTTCAGTTTTGCGACTGGCACGAAGGTAAAAGATGCGAGTTTGATTCCTGTGCAGAGTAGATATTTGACCGAGTATCTGTCTTTCCGCACGGACAGGCATTATCAAAAGAGTCCCCCAAAAACATCTTAATTTTGTCAACATGTGTGTGAGACGTTACCAGCAATTAACAGAAAATTGAGACGTAATGAGATCATTATAAAGGCAACATGACGTACGACAAGCTGTCACCTTGTTCTAATGAAAGTATGAAAGTTTTCCAAGGGAACGGAACATGGTGTGATATATATGACTACACCAAAAAAAAGAATATCTGATACAATAGGATGCATTGTAAGGATCCTGCCTTCTGTGTGACAGTGGTGAAATGCTGAGAGAGAGAGAGAGAGAGAGAGAGAGAGAGAGAGAGAGAGAGAGAGAGAGAGAGAGACAGAGAGAGAAGGAGAGAGAGAGAGAGAATGACAGAAAGAACAGAGAGACAAAAAAGTAGTAAGTACTGAGGTACGACACAACCAAAATGAATCAGAATGAAATCGCAACAACAACCGTCCCTCACCTGCACCCAGACAAAGCCAAACTGGTAGTATGGGTAGAAGGTTCTCCCTGGCCCTGGCACCCAGGTGGGTTTCCGAACTTGTTTGGTGGACGGTAGGTAGGTGGCGTTCTGCCGGATCTTGTAGCGCACATGGGGCGGGATACTGCCGTCTGGAGGGAGGTCCTCAAATACCACGCCTGGAGG